GGGAGGGAGGGAGGGAGGGAGGGAGGAAGAAAGAAAGGAAGAAAGAAAGAAAGAATCGAAAGAAAGAAAGAGAAAGGCCAATGTGGTGGGGCACACCTTTAATCCCAGCACTTGGGAGGCAGGGGCACGTGGTGGCACTCTGCAAATTGAGGTCAACCTGATCTACATAGTGAGGTCCAGGCCAGTCAGAGCTATGTAGTGAGACATGGGAGAGAAAGAGGGGGAGGGTAGAGGGAGATTTCCTATGTAGAAGGATTGCCCTTTATAAAAGTCAGGACATAGTGAACTCACACCCCACCAACTCCCAAGATTGTTAACAGTATAGACAGCCTAGGCACCATCTCCACAGCGTTTTGTATCCTTTGGTTTCTGGATGGGCTTGGACACCCGCTTTTTTAACTGGACTCTCATCCCTGGCCCCTCAGGCGATTCTGAGACAGCAGGCTGTGGACCACCCTGTGAGAGAATAATGTGTTGAGCTGGGAACATGTTAGTTCTTCCTGCTAGGATCAGAATGCTGACCATCTGGGTTTTAGAGGTTTCCATTTTTATGACATTTCAATCTTCATTTGGTTCCTTAGGCCCCAGCCCAGGCCTGTTGCTTTAGAACCTTTAGGGGTGTAGCCCACAGTGGGTTCCAATACACATTCTGGAGTGGGAACCGTGGAGCTGGCAGGATGAGACTGAAACACTGTCTGGGTAGGGTGGTACCCGATGCAGGTACTAGAGACCCAGCCGCCTGTCCGGTACCTAGGAGGTCTGGTCTGGTCTCCTTTCTGTTCTGCTGGTCCATCTGGAGCTAGCCCTCTGGAGAGGGGTCTTCTCATCTTCCAGGCATGGGAACCATGCCTAGATAATAATAAGGCATGAGCTCTTTTGTTTTTAAGTTGCATTTCCTAAAAACTTGTTTCGTGTATGTTATATTTGTATTTGTTGCACATACGTGCCCCTGCATACATGTAGAGATCAAATTCCTTCAGAGCCTGTTTTCTCCTTCTTTTATACATCCCAGGGCTTGAACTCAGGCTGTGAGGCCTGGCTCCAGATACCGTTAGCCACGGGATCATCTTGCTAGCCTGAGTTCTTTTGTCTCTGTGTTGGCTATAGATCCTGTGGCTGGGCTAATAAATACTATATGGTGACAAAGTTGTGCCTACAGTTCTGAGAACTCCCAGGTCCCAGGCCATCGAAAACAGCCTTGAAAATTCTTGAACTCTGTTGTCCTTTTCAGGTTTGGAATTCCCTTGGGGACCTAAGCCCTTCCGGGAAGTCGTTGCAGGACCCTTGCTGAGAAATAATGGGCCATCACTGGAGAGCAGCAGCCTGGAGGGCTCTCACGTGGGAGTCTATTTCTCTGCACACTGGGTGAGTGTTTGGTCTCTCCTTAGTTTAGACTGAAGGGAGCAAGAGTGTCACCACTGTGCCTAGAGTGCTTGGCTTCTCGGGATGGGCGACTCTGGCAGAAGTTCCCTGGCTTTGCCTTTCCTTGCTCATTGATGGCAGTAAATGCTTATGCTATAAAAGATGGTGGCAGCAAGAAAATGTCCTCTCCGCAGCATCCTGATGAGATTTCTCAGGCCCCCTAAGAGGAGGCATCTCGTGGTTGCCTGCTGCACACTGCCTAGGCTGGAGAGTCTGTGCCTACTGATTGCCATGCAGAGTTGCAAGCTTGCTTATCTCTTGTATAAACTGGATTTTGCTGTCCCAGCCCCACCCTTCTCACCTGGCCCCCAGTGGCCAGTGGCTGGAAGTAGAGAAGGCTCGGAACACTGCAGGGCCTCTTGTCTTTCAGTGTCCACCCTGCCGAAGCCTCACTCGAGTGCTAGTGGAATCCTACCGGAAGATCAAGGAAGCAGGCCAGAAGTTTGAGATCATCTTTGTCAGTGCAGACAGGTACTGTGAACCCTTGAAGAGTCAGTGCCACACCACTTTTCTAATAATGGCTTATACCAGTTCCTTTCACCTCATATTTCTTCCTCAGTGTAGGTAATAGAGTAGGGCTTGAGGTAGGCAAGTCTGGGATATTAACTGAGATAAACCTTGCTGCAAACATTGAGGCACATCTCAGTCCAGGTTGTGGTCAGCTGAAATCAAGATGCAGTTTTGGTTCAGCTTTCTAAATTGTGAAGGGGAAATACAGGACGGAGAATGGAAGCAAGCTAGAGACTAGCACAGTGTGACTGTTTTGTGTGAAATATATTCATTTTTTTTTAATCTGGTCACACACTCTGTCTAGGGCTACTTTAATGCACATGGATACAAAATCACACAAGCCAGACAGTGGTACACATCTTTAATCCCAGCACTCAGGAGGCAGAGGCAGGTGGATCTATGTGAGTTCAAGGCCAGCCTGGTCTGCAAAGCGAGTTCCAGGACAGCCAGGACTGCACAGTAAAACCATGGCTAGAAAAAAATGAAAGAGAAAGAAAGGAAGGAAGAAAGAAAGAAAACAAAGAAACAAGGACCCAGGTTCAATTCTCAGCACCCACATGGCAGCTCACAATTGTGCACTGTAACTCCAGTTCCAGGGGACCTGACACCCTCACAGACATACATGCAGGCAAAAAAAAAAAAAAAAAAAAAAAAAAAAAAAACCCAAAAAACAAAAAAACAGTGTACATAAAATTAAAAAAGAGAAAAGAAATCACACAAGTGAGGATGTGGTTTTTGTCCCAGAGCCTTGTCTCTTTAGCCTCAGTTGTTTCTGCTTCCATTCATCAATAAGCAGTCTTCAGCTTAGAACTCCAGCCCAGATCCAGGCTGAGACACCAGGAGCTTCTGCCTCCTGAAGTCCTGGTCACAGAGGCTTTCAAGATGCCATGCTGTAGCTTTGACATTGTACTTCCTGTGCTATTTATGGTCCCACTCCACCATTCCCCATCTCAGTGGAAGGGACTGGAAACAAATCTGAAGATGTTTAAACTGTATCGCCTTTGTGGAAACACAATTTCTATACAGATAATCCAAATTTTAGGTTTGTAGTTCAAAGAGCTTTGCCTCGCATGTTTACCCATGTCGTTATTGTCATATAGTCAAGATACAGAACATTTCCATTACTCAGAGGGCTCCTTTTTGCCCTTCCTGGTCATTGCACATCACCATATCTAGCCCTAATGTGCTTTCTATAACCTAAGTGTATTTGCCTTCGCTAGCATTTCTTGTGTGTACTGTCATAGGTGTAGGCTTGGTTCTGAGTGCGTGGTTCTGTACACACCACAGCTCTGCATGCAAACTAGAAACACACCGGGGAGTACAACTGTTGAATGTATAAACGTTGAATGTATCAGGGCTGGAGAGATGGTTCAGTGGTTAAGAGCACTTACTGCTCCATCGGAGGACCAGAATTCAGATTCTAGTACCTATATCTATTGGGCAGCTCACAAACACCCGTAACTCCGGCTCCAGTGTCCCTTTCCGGCTTTTTTTTTTTTTTTTTTTTTTTTTTTTTTGTGTGTGAATTTTTTTTTTTTTGTGGTGGGGGGGGAGAAAAAAAAAAAAAAAAAAAAAAAAAAAAAAAAAAAAAAACTCACACAAACAAACATTCACACATCAAATAAAATAAACTTTTTTAAAAACCAAAGGTGTCTGTGCTGCTGATAAAAAGTTGCGCATAGGTATAATTGGTAGGATGCAAAGGGGATGTTGGCATGGTCTGGCTGCCATTTGAGTTGGGGAGCCACCTCATGGATGGAGTCATTTGCTTCCTGGTGAACAGCAGAATGGATAGAATATCAAACACCTGTATGCTGATGCCTGAGGATCTAGGTTAGGAACCTGAAGTTAGGAACCCCAACCCTGTAGGAGTTGGTAATGGCAGAAAGGACCAAGTAGAAGAAATACACGCAGGATAAAGACATTTTCTCCACATCTTTTGTAGGTCAGAGGAGTCTTTCAAACAGTACTTCAGTGAGATGCCATGGCTCGCTGTCCCCTACACTGATGAGGCCCGACGGTCGCGTCTTAACAGACTGTATGGTATCCAAGGTAGGCATCCCACTCTGTGTGGCCTGGATGGAAACCTGGCCATCTGGGCTTCAACATCTCTGGCCTCCTTTTTAGCAGAGAAGAATATCTTTGAAACAAAGCATGGGGGTGCTGCCTGTAATCCTGACATCTGGAAGATGGAGGCAGGTGGGGTCCTATAGTGGGAAATTACCAATACGGAGTCAGGTAGAAATATAAGGGTATTTAATAGGGAAAAGCCTACTTACAGAGCAACCTAGCCAGCCGGTGGGTCAGCAGCCTGTACAGCAAGTACCAAAGAGAAACCAAAACCGAAAACGCAGTCACACTACGACCACGCCCTCACAAGCCTGGTCAGGCACACCTGTAGCCAGCCCCTAAGAAGGCGTGGCTACAGCTTCCCCTACAGGGTCCCAGGACCATGCCCGTCTAAGCTGTATAGGGAGACTTTTTCAATAGGACCAAAACAACCAACCAACCAACCAACCAACCGAACAAACAAACAAAACCCTAGGTTTTACTTCATGAGCGTTCGAGTTCCTCACATTTTAAAAAAATTACTTGGTTACACGGGCCAGGGAATGATAGCTCACGGCTCATGCCTTTAACCCTAGCACTTGGGAGGCAGAGGCAGGTGGATCTCTGGATTACTTGGGGCCTGGGGATTGGAAAGATGGCTCAGTGGTTAAGAGCTTGCACTGCTCTTGCAGAGGGTTCAAGTTCAATTCTCTGTAGCTTTAGCTCCAGGGAATCTGATGGCCTCTTCTAGCTTCTTTGGGTACCCACATAGACATGCATGTACACACCACACACACACACACACACACACACACACACACACACACATACACCATTTAAAAAATAAAGTAAGTCTTTAAAAGATAACTTGGAGTGAGTTTTATGGCATGTTACATGACTTACACCTCATTACTACTGCTTACTTTAGGGTTCTGGGGTGGGGTTGTTTTTAATGCTTGTTCTGGTAAGACAGAGGCTTCTCATCCCCTCAAATGGTGGCTTCTGATGTAGATGGCCTGTGGAGCACATGCTTCCAAGTCACTGGACCAGAACTCCCCTCCAGGACTTCACTGCCAGGCAGACTAAAGAGTGATCTTTAGTTCTGTCACTTGGAGTCCTTGAGCTACTGTCTCCTCCTCTGCAAATTGGGTATGATGAACCTCTGACAGGAAATTGCTGAGAAGTAATACAGATGAAGTGATTCTAACATGTGTGTGTCCGTGTCTCTGTGTGTGTTGCACTCATACTGTCTTTCAGTTGAGAATGTTTCATCAAATGTTGACCACTGGATTTAGATTATAATGTTGTTCAGAAATAAATAATATCACAGAGACAAGCTAGATGCTTCCCTTTGCTAAATGAACACCTCCCTCCTATAGAACTCCAAATGGGTTCTTTCTTGGGAAAGACAAAGGTAGGTTGTTGCTTAGTTCCATCCCTGCACTGCAAAGCAAACAGAAATATATGGGGTTGCCCTTTGACTTTTCCACTGATGGGATTAAGTTTCCTCACTCTCAGAGTGACTCAGTTTTCTACTTAAAAGAGACATGACAGTCTCAATGTGACTGTTCAGTGAATAAGAGGCTCCCACCAGCATCATAGCCCTCAAGGCCATGCCATGGACTCCCTAGCTTGTGGTTAGAGGCCTTTCTCAACACTACAGGCAAGCCGTACTGGTAGGCTGGTTGGGGCCCGGGGCTTTCCGAAGGTTGAGACTTTGTGGCAGCCTCTTCAGATGACAATGGGTTTTCCATCTTCACCTGTATTAGCGGTTCATCACTGTACCTAGCAGACAGCTTGAAGGAGGAAAGTTTACCTTCGGTCTCAGCTTCGGAGGTGTGGAAGGCATGGCCGAACCACTCAGTTCACAGTCCAATGGTTCAGGTGACAGAGAGAGGGGGATGCTGACTTCTGCCTTTCCTCCACTTCATTCTGTCCTGGCCATAGCCCAGGGGATGATCCTTCCACATTCAGAGTGAGTCCATAGAAACGCCATAACTGATACACCAAGAGCTGTGGTCCATGTCTCCCAGGTGATTCCAACCCCAGTCAAGTTGATGGGGAAGCTTACTGTCACGTGGCTTTAGCAATTATAGGGACATCAAGTTTTGAGGATTCCTGTTCCTCACACATAGCAGTGAGAATGGATGAATAAATCTTTAAAAACATAATAATAAATTTAAAAAGAAGTGATCCCACTTTATAGGGATTTATCCATAGGAAATTATCTCATAGCACCACTTAGAAGCTGAGCTTCTCAAGCAAATGGTATATGTGAACTTTTATTTATTTTTAGGAGGTTTTGTTGTTGTTTACTTTTTTTTAAAGTTTTGTTGTATTTGTGTGGGTGTTTTACCTGTATGTATGTCTGTGCACCACATATGTGCTTGGTGCCTTCAGAGGCCAGAAGAGGGTGTCAGATTCTGTGGAACTGGAGTTGCAGCTGGTTGTGAATCACCATATGGCTTCTGGAAATCGACTCTGGGTCCACTGCAGTTACAGCCAGTGCTCTTAACCGTTGAACCATCTCTCCAGCCTTTGGTTGGTTTGTTTTGTTTTGAGACAAAGTCTCACTCTACAGCCCAGGCTGGACTGGAATTGTAACCTTCTTCCCAGGTCAGCCTTCCAGTGTTGGAAGCTGTCCTGGAACTACCTCCTGTAGACCAGGCTGGTCTTGAACTCACAGAGATCTGCCTGCCTCAGCCTCCCAAGTGCTGGGATTAAAGGTGTGCACCACCACCGCCCAGCTCTTTCTTGTTTTGAAACAGAGTCTCATTATGTAGCCTTGGCTGGCCTGGAACTTCCTATGTAGACAAGGCTGTCCTCAAACTTGAAGTTCCAGGAGCTAGGGTTATAATTACATGCTACCATGCCATGCCACACATGATAAAGTAGCTTCACAGAGAAGTGCTAGGAGCATTCCCTGAGCTCTATCCAGACTGAGTTACCTCCACCTGGTTGCTATACCTTGGAAAGAGGGGAGGGGTCACCTGGGCTCTCCCTATTGTCTTGACCAGCTTGAGTGAAAATGTATCATGTAAAAGGAATGTGTCCCCTGAGTATCTTGGAATCTAGGCCCCTTCACCAGAGATTCTTCCTCCAGAGTGGCCTTGCCAAATGATGATAGTTAGCTCAGGTGTCACAGAGAGTGAGTCACCCCTGTCACAGGGTAGCTATGCCACAGGTCTTGACTAGTTTGCCCTAAGCTAGATGGACCAAAGTCTGGCAGCTGCCAGTGGCCTGGTCACTGGCTCCCTTTAGACAGCTTGGACTCTGCCCTGGGTTTGTGAGAAACTGTAGTTATCATGGGGCCACCCTGGCTCCCTGAGGATTTGGCATTTGGCTTCCCTCCATCCCCTTTGTCTCCCTGAAAGAGCTGGTTCCCCACAGGCCTCCCTGCCCCTAGTGCTCTGTGCAGACTGGGGAATTTGTGGCCCTATAAGCTGTTTTAAAAATGCCTTTCTAAGGGAACCATTTAGACACACTTGGCAAAAGGCAAATCTCATTAGCCATTGTCTAAGTAACCCGGGGCTGCTGGAGAATATTGCAGAACACCGTGTTCTTTTGCAAGGAAGCTTAGGGGCCCTTCTGTCTTGGGCGAGGGACCCAGGCGCTTTTGTCTTTCCTCTGTCTTCTTCATCCCTAGCCTGTGGGAGGGCGGGAGGTGGCTCTGGCTGCGTGGCTATAATGTAGAGCCTTCCTGTCCCCAATGTAGAGCTTTCTGTTTCTTTCTCCCTCTTGCTCAATCGTCTTTCACTCTTCTCTCCTTCCATTCCCTGCTTCCCTCCTCTCCCATTCTCCCCCTCCCCCTTCCGCCCCTTACTTTGCCCTCTTCCTTACTTCCTTCAGAAAATGGATCTGAAGCATTCTGTAAACATAAAAAACAACATTTTCAGAGCTGTGTCTTTTCAGTCAGTAGAGGGCAAGTGGCCGATGCTGGCGGGGGTTTTTTTTGTAGACAAATCTTCGTATTCAAAGGTCTGGCGCCTCTGTGTAGAGCTGCCTGTCTGCTGGCGGAGGGCGGCCCAGGCAGCCTGGGAATCCACCGAGTGGCCTTGGTGTTCTGTTTTGTTTGTTGCATTTAATCGTGAGCACATAAAAAGAAAAAAAAAAAGATAGAGGAAAGAACAGAGATTAATGTACTAAACACCCTTACTACACCAAGAAGACTTTGGATATGTAGAATAGAATCCAGGTCCTGAGTCCATTCCTCGGCACATGCAACTCTCTCAAAGGAAAGAAGAAGGAAGGATGAGCAAAGGAAGCACTACAGACAAAGACAAGGCCCTTGTGCGCCTCTGCTTTCCTTCCCCCTGGGAATCACCACCATAGACCTACTGCGTAACCTCATGAGTCGCTCCCTCATTTCCCCACATGCATATGAACCATGAATAATGTATCGTTTCCTTGGTGCGTCTTTAGAAGCATACTTTAAAAGCTGTCACAGTATAATTTTTCAACTTGATTCTTTTCACTCACATTATGGTTTTGAGATGTATCCTCACTAATACTCATATCTAGTTGGTTTATTTTCAAGCCTGGGAAGTGCTCCACTGGTTAACTGTGCAGACTGACTTACCTGCTCCCCAGTTGATGGGTGGTCGGACTGTGCCAGCTGGCAGATCTGCTCACTCTTGATTGACAGTTGGGTTTCTGGATTTAGAAGAACATAGCCGTACATGTCTCTAGGTGCAGACTGAGCAGCTTTTGTATCTTCTGGCCAAGTCCAAGTTGGTCCAAGCCCATCTCTCTGACCTGAGTTGAGTTTGCCTGAGCTTTGCCACCTAAACCAGCTGTTTCTATCCTGTCCAGAGTGCTCTAAGCATAGGAGAGCTTTTTCGGGGTGGGGTGGGGTGGCAACGGGGAGAGAGATCTGATGGGTGGAACTGGCTGGTGATTTTGCCAAGGTTTGATTTGGTTTGTCATCCCCACTCCAGCCCTACTGCCCTTCAGTTCTGATTTTCATTTTAAACATAAAGTCCACATACTACATCACTTAAAATTTAAACTTAACCGATGTCTCTCATCTTATCTCATCTGTACTCCCATCTTACTCTGTAACGGGTTCCACATTTCTGAGTCGCTTTGATCATTGTTCACATACACATAGCTGTATTGTACTTGTACGTGTAGCTCTGTGCCATCTGAGGTTTTCTCGAAGCAGTGGATCGCAACCCTTTCCAATTGGCTGCACCCTCCATGATGGCCATTTCCAGTGTCTCTCGGTATCATGCCCTGCGGTGTACCCCAGCTTGTTCGTCTTGTCTCAGGGTGTGCTTTTTCTCCAGTTTCTCTCCCCTGGTCTTTGGGGTCTGGAAGCCCCCTTGGATGCTACCATCCAGGATGCAGACAGAGCTAGGAGCTACTCCTTCTGGCTCCTTTCTTTCTTAAGTGCCTGGACCACTTCAGTTTCTTTGTCCCACCTCCATCCTCCCATCCCCACAAAACTGTCTCCTTAGCAACAGAGAAACAACCAGATAAACTGTAGGTAGACTCTGTGCATTGTCTCTTGTGCTTTGAGGGGGGGGGCAGCGGAGAAGACTCCAGCACTGATGGACACTCCGGCTCCCTAGAGCTGAGTCCTCTTCCTCTTTGGGAATGGGAATGTTTATGTTCTGAGCTCATAAGGTAAGCTTGGGATGCTGCAGGCAAGAGCGCTGACCTCTTGCTTGGCAGACATTACTGTTGCAGGACTCTTACTCATATCTCCTGGTCCTTAGCTAACATTCTCCACCCTGGCTTGAGGTTTTTGCTTCTCTGCTACACGGCTCCCACCCTCTGTGCTCTGCCTTCTCAGGGAGGACTTTTTAAAACCTGAGTGGATTTATAATATTTGCTATTACTTATGGAACACGTTCAGTATCCCCAGGACTCCGCTGAAACTATCTACATTTCCATCTTTTTATTCCTCCCCATAATCAAGTAAGATAGAACCTGACATCCCCATTTGGCAGCTTTTGGAAATGAGGCTAAAAGAAGTTAAGGGACTATGGGATCTTCTTAGAACTCCAGGAATCTTCGCCTTCCCCCCACACCCACCCCCCACAACCGTCCCAGCTGGCTTTGCTGGGAAACAAGTCTGGGCCAAGCAGCGATAAGCTGTCTCTTTTGTTCCCACAAGAAGTCCCTCACTGGTGTGGAAGGTATTTTGCATGACTGCATTGATGAGAAATTTGCTGTTCCCTTGAAGTTTCCTAAGGCTTCACCCTGTTTTCTCTGAAGTATTGACTTGGGAAAGCCTGCTTCAGGGACTGAATGCCCAGGAGGGGAAGAATGGGTGGTGACTCCCTCAACATCTGCCACTGCTCTGGGGAGGGAAGAAGAGAGAGGAAAGCAGCTTGGGAAACTGTGGTTCCCAGAGCCTCCCTGGCCCAAGCCAGGTGCTGGGAGAGGAGTCCTTGACAAAAGCCATGTCCTGGAGAATAGAGCCACAGCCCTCGCAACAGGCAGGCTGGTGTGCCTATCCCATTGGGACTGGCTGGGTGGTCTTGTAGTGGTCCCTACAGCCTGTGAAGATGACTAAGTAAGGTGGCAATTATATTGTTCTGGGCAGAGCAGACACTGCAGAGGCTAGCTGCCCTTCTCCATGCCAGCCCTCTGACTCAGCAGCAGAGTGCACTCTTAGAGGGTTCAAAGGTCAAGCCCAAGGTCACCTGAAGGGAAAGGTGGACACGAAGGTGAACAGGGGAGCACAGATACTCTCCAGGACCTCTCCAGTTCCAGTCTGACTGGGGGTTTTCCTACCCGTTGTAATCACACTCCTGACACTGCCCTAACTCTGGGGACCTCACGGCCTTGGGTTCCCAGACATGAACTTTGGTGCTCAAAGCACCGAAACTGAGAGAAGACTTTTTAGCTTTCCATAGCTAAGGGGATGGAGTGGAGAGAGCCTGGCCAGAAGATTTGCACCTCGGGGACTCAGTAGTGGGCTCTGGGATAGCTAGCCTGAGTCCTTGCTCTCCTGTCCTGGTCTCCACAGGACTCAAGAGAGCAACAAGTGAATCCCCTCACAGTGAATGGATGAGACAAAGGAACCAGACTCCCTGGCTGGTGGACTTTGTCTTGTTCCTTTCCCCTCCCCTCCTCTCCCCTACTCTCCCCTCCTCTCCCTTACTCCTAGCTCTGTGCCTGTCTGTCCTTTCTAGACCAATTCTGCATCCTGAGTCCAGGCTAAAAACAGGCCTACTAATGTGTCTAATCATAGCAGTGGGGCGGGCTCTGCTTTACCAGTGCTCAGAACTGCCCAATTTCAGAAATGCCAGTTCAGATTAAAGACCTGTGCCAAGGCTTTTTAGAGATGGGGATGTGGCAGTGTGGCTCACTCATGTGTCCCAGACTGCCCTTTGTGGCCTCCAGCCCCAGGCTCCCTGTGGGCTACCTACTTAAGTCTGTGTGTGGAGACACAGCCAACATGGGCCCCAACCTCTTTGGGAGAGGCAGCCATTAGGACAACGTCCCAGGACTCCTGTTCAAGACTTAAAAGTCCACGGGGCCACAGGAGCTGGGTTCTCTTTACCTGTTCCCTATCACGCCCATCCAGCTACTTCTAATAGGTGTGAACCAAATGGATTTATTTATTCCTTTTGTAGATAGGCCCCCCACTGCAGGCCCACTGGGCCCACTGCCACAGCAGGTCACAAAGCACCAGGGACATACTTCTGGTACCTCGCTGTATGCCCCATGGAGAAGTAAAATGTCAGTGGAGCAAATTACTGACCAAGTACTTCAGAGCCTATAAATATTAAATTGTTCTGGCTTTCATATAAAATCCAGGCTCTGGTCTACCCCCAAATGGGGGGTACCTGGAGAGCTCTACTAGGGAGGGGACCAGCTACCAGTGGAGAGACAAGTGTCCCCAAAGGTCAGGGCAGAGGCAGACTCTGTGTGAGTGGCAGCTCTGGCCAGAGGAGAAGCAGTGGGGAGCGGGGTACCAAGAGCAAGGATGTGGCAAGTCCAGATACAGCTATAAAGCAAGTTAGCATTTCCCCCAAGTGTTCATTTGAGGATTTATAGGTAGAGCGCATGTGCTACACAGGCAAACCTTCTATGTATTCCTTACTCCAGCCATGCCCTGCTCCTGGGGACCGCTCCTCTGAGAGTGTCTCGGATTCTCCTCAGGCAGCAAGGCTATGGCTGGAGGTGGAGAGTGTGCCAAAAGCCTGCACTGGCCTAGGTGTCCTCTGCCTCCCTTTCCTGTACATCCCTGCTCACTGGGGCTGTGCTTCCTGGTGTTCTTGGGATGACCTTGGTGACTGTATAAGGACTCTGCTCACATTGTTGTCTTGTTCTGTGTGTGCACCCATGCACTGTATAGGAGGGTCTGTGGATATCTATGCCACCTCTGTCTACTTTAGACTCTGCTAATTGGGGAGGCCTGCTGTACCTTGAGTCTCTTTAGGGTGTGCCCACCACTGACAGATTGGCTGCACCTATATGCCAAAACCCTATGCTCAGTTCCGTGTGTGCATATGTGTGCTTGAGCGCACACTCAACCAGGATTGACCCCAAGCCTTGTCCACACAAGTGCTGGCTCCTGTGTTGCTTTCTGAGTTTGTCAATCAGTTGCTGTGGGTGGAGCTGGGAAAGATGGGATCTCCAGCTCCTTCACAGTCCCCCCTCCCCCAAGAACTCCGAGGTACAGGCTTGCTCAGTGACTCCACACAGACAGACCTGGAGCTGTTCTGCCACATTCCTGTTCCTGGCCTGGATTCTTACTGTGACTATGTGTATATCCCCAGTCTGGAAGACAGGCTGCACGCTGTCTCAGGACAGTGGCCAAGTAAGTGCTCTGTCTCTCTTGCAGGCATCCCCACGCTCATCGTGCTGGACCCACAGGGGGAGGTGATCACTCGGCAGGGCCGAGTGGAGGTGCTCAATGATGAGGACTGCAGGGAGTTCCCGTGGCACCCGAAGCCCGTGCTGGAGCTCTCAGACTCCAATGCTGTGCAGCTCAATGAAGGCCCCTGCCTGGTCCTCTTTGTAGGTATGGAGCTGAGGGGCAGTGGGGGACAGGTCAGAATGGACCTCTCATGGGAGGTGGCTATCCCTGCAGCCTCTTTCTGTCATTAATAGTGCTGAGCTGGGGGGTCTTTGTCTCTCCAGCAGCCTTGCTTTTGACCCCAATGATTTATTCATGGCTATCCCCCTGCTGGCGGTGGTCTGGAGCAACTACTGCTCAGCATTCCCTCTGTGCTGCTCCTGCTGCCAGCTGGGCAAATAGGTCAAGCAGGAGGATACCCCCAGCCCCCCATGAACAGACCCTTTGTTGGGAAGGAAGAGGAGGGGGTTGCTTGCATAGCAGCTGCAGGGGGTGGGGCCCCCTTAGGCTAAGGCAAGCTATACCTCTCTGCCAAGTAAAAGGACAGAAAAGTATCCCTGCATTCTAGTAGGATGGCTCAGGGTGCTTTCACAACCTACGGCCAAGAACTATGGGACTTTGCTAGTCATCTCCAACTGAGCTCTCAGGTCCATGGTTGGAACAGCCCCCACTAACTTCACTGAGGGCCTGGGGAGTACACTCAGCACCCTGCTCCATTCTCTGGGGTCTTGTTGGATCCCCAGCAGGGGAGCTGCTAAGCAGACTGGTCTGGTCTTGGATAGGAAGACCGTACTGGAGAGAAGCAGCCTTGGGCAATCTTTGCTGTGGGCTGTGGGCCGTGGAGCTGTCTGCCTGCTGTGGGTCCTCCTCACACCTACACCCTGGAGCCTATTTGGAAAGAGCGCTGAACTTGGGGGCAAATAGGAACCTTTTGGTCTTCCCCAGAAATGTGGAAACAAAGTCCCAGAGAGGCAAAACAAATTAGGTAGCATCACAAAATAAATTAGATGGGGGTGTCCCAAGTGTTAGTGTCTGCACCATGAGCCTCTTGGGAAGTGCGGCATTCTGGGTAGATTCCTGTCCTCTCCCTGCTTCTACCACTTGAAGATGTTGTGCTGGTTCTTGACCACAGACTTCAGCAGCCTGAGCCTTGTGTGTGGCTATTCCTTGTGTTCTCCTGTGGCTCCTCCCGGGCAGGTCTGGCTACCAGTTGTGAAGGTAGCAGCTTTGTTGCAGCCATGGTGTCCCAGCACCACCAGAGCTGCAAAGGGGACCACATTCTCGCTTCCTTCACAGCAGTCATGGTTCTCATTCTGTGACTGGGAGAAAAGCTACCTGGGGCTCAGGAGTTGGCACGGAAGCAGCCCAGCTTCCTGGATAGGTTTGTGACAAATTCCATGACCAGGTCTTCAGGCTGGCAGCTGCAGTTGGACCCGTTCACAGATCCCATCTGTGCCTAGTGAGCCCACTGGGGCTCAGGCCCAGCACTCAGGTCATCCCAGGTTACCACTAGTTGCCAATCCAGAGTTTCTTGTCCTTTTTCCTCTCCTCCCGTGTCACAGATTCTGAGGACGATGGAGAATCTGAGGCAGCCAAACAGCTGATCCAGCCAATAGCTGAGAAAATCATTGCCAAGTACAAAGCCAAAGAAGAGGAGGCACCACTGTTGTTCTTTGTGGCCGGGGAGGTGAGTGCAGAGGACAGGTCTGGTCCCTGGCAGGGCTGACAGTGGGGACATGAGTAATCTTAGCTTCCAGAGGTTTGGCAGGACCTCTGGGTCTGAGCTGATTGTGCCACATACAGATGGAAGAGGAAAGGTGTGTCCTCAGTCATCAAAAAACCATTTCCTATCCCTGTTGTCTCTCCCTCCCTTCCTTCTCACTCAGCAGCCTCAGAACAGTAGGAAGCCCTCCCAGGGCTGTTCCCTGTGCACTGCTGGGAGAGCACTGTCACAAACATCAGTCAACCACCCTCACTCCCATCCCCAATGGAGTCAGAACCATCCCCAATGCTTTGCAAAGTGTCAGCTTGGCTAGTCCCACTGCACCAGCCTGCAACATGGGCTTAGCCATCACAGGGATCCTGGTTTCTAACACAGCTGAGACCCGGGGTCACTCACGTAGCTGAAGGTGCCTGGGGAGGTTGGAAGTTGCTGCTATTCCCCATCTCTTGCACCCTGGGCCTAGTTCTTGAAGGGCCTCACTGTGCCAGACTGAACAAGGGACTTCCCCAGGGTCAGAGAGTGGGTCCTTAGAGTAGAGATTCCCTGAGCAGGTGCCTGGCCACCCTGGAGCTTGGGAGTCTGCATCCTACATGCAGCCGCATTCTGCAAGATGGCCGTGATCAGCAGCGCAGGCGCTCTTCTGGCTCCTTCTGCACATGCTCATTGCCTCTCTACCCCATCCCAGCACCCCTCTGACGCTTACACCAATGGGGCTCTATGAGGCCAACCCCCAGCCCTTCCTGCAAGGTCTGAACCTCCAGTTGGTTAGAGCCTGTACACTGTGTATGAATCCCAGGAGAAGCACTGGAAGACAAACAGGAGAAGCCAGACACCCTAAGCCACCCATTCATCATCTCCTCAATAGCTGCCCCTGGCTGCCCCACTGGGCCCCTTACAGGCAGCTCCAGTTGCCCTGCTCAGCCCTGGGGTGGAGGGGAACAAAGAGGGTTCACAGGATCCTGCCTGGGGGCTCACAGCCGCTCCATACAAAGCACAGCAAGGCTGCTCTGCATGTATTAAACTCTAACCCCTGGAGAATGGCTCCTAAGAAAAGATGGGTGCAGAAGAGAAAGGGCCAGTTTGGGGGTGGGGCAGGGGCTGAAGAGCACAGCTGAAAAGCTTTTGCAGTTTTCTGTGCCCTAGGCGCCTTGCCAGGAACTTCACCTGCTAGTCTCGGCTGCACCTCAGCTCTCTGAATAGGAACATATACTATCTTGTTTCATAGATGAGGAAAGTGAAGGACAGACTCTCCCTAGGTGGGGCTGGGAGCACAGGGGGCTGGTTTCTTCTCATAGCATCCTGGGTATTAGGGATGGGGCTCAGGCTCCATGATGTCCCTTGCCAAGGCCACACAGAAAGTAGTAGCAGAGAAAGAACTAGTGAGTGTGCTGTGACCCCAGGGGCAGGGCCCTTCTGCTTCTGACAGATGGACCAGTTCATACCTAGAAGGACAGGTATTGGGGGGCATTGTCCATGGACCAGAAGGCTAGGCAGAGCCCCATGTATCACCCATTGCTCCATCTAGGCTCTAGTCTTGGCAGCTGGCTTGGCCCAGACTTCTGTCCTTATATAAAATAACCTGGAACAGGGCTGGGAGTGGGGGGCATGGGGCAGGGAGAGGGAACATAGACATCAACTAACTGAGCCCCGCACTGTGGCCCAGAGCTAGGAGAGTCCTGTTGCTGTTTTTCGGTCCCAGTCCTGTCCCTTGGGACAAGAAGTAGCTAATCTGAAGCCTTCATGGACATTAAAATTCATCTTTCTCTGGTTTGCTCAGAGGGAGTCAAAGGAGGCACTGGGCCTCTTGGCTTGGTTCAAGCCTCCTAAAGGGGTAAGATGAACAGTATTTGTCCAAGTGCCTCCCTCTGTTTATCATGAAGGATTTTATTAACCCGAGCACTGAATCTGGTGATCAGTGCCTAAGATGTGGAAGCACTCAGCCTTACTGGGAGGCACATGCTATTTTATGAGGGAGGAAGATGTTACTGACAGCTCTCCTTGATGTCAACGGATTTTATCTGAGGAACCAGTGAGCTTAAGCTTCATGCATCCTGCTACCCCATTTAAGGCCAGGAAGACTTCAAGCCCTTTCTCTGCAGGGCAACTCAAAATTTTTCATTAGAATTAGAATATTATATGTTGTATGGTGTGAAGTCCTGTTTCCTGTTAGCTACTAAATGTGGTCTGTATCATCAAAGGTCACCTGAAATAGTTGCTTCTCCATAAACGCTTCTCCTTTGACACTGGTAGTGGGTGCACGCCTTTAATCCCAGCACTTGGAAGGCAGAGGCATGTGGATCTCTGTGAGTTTGAGGTCAGCCTGGTCTACAAAGGGAGTTCCAGGATAGCCAGGGCTACACAGAGAAAACCTGTTTCAAAAAACCCAAAACAACAACAAAAGCTTTTCCTTGTCTTCTTGCCTGTTTGTTTGGATGAGGGTGTCTGTTCTTGGGGAACTCACCTGGACAACAGCTGGGGATGCACAGCAAAGCACTGCTTCCTTCTCAGAAAATGCAGTGAAGTAGCTTCCAGGCTGGCTGGGCAGCCCTGCCTTCATCCCACATAGGGCACAGGAGACAGTTAGCTGTTTTTGTTGAAAAACGTGCTAGAGTTGAAATCCTGACTCAGGTAATCCACAGTGAGGTTGCAAAGTATTGAGAGCTGATTGCAAAACCAAGCAATTAGGACTTGATAATCTTCAGAAGCAAGAGCATGTTAAAGTTGCTTTTGAGCTCATGAAGAAAGGTGGCTTGCCTCCTGGGTTAGAGGATGTAGGAAACTGAACCAAGGACTCCCTAAAGCTGGGTGGAGTCCTTATTCTTGTGATAGGAGCCCATCACTCCGGGATGCTGGAGCTGTCCCTTTCCCATGCTCTCTGGAGATTCTCTTGTTAAAACTTACTGATTTTCTTGCCCTTCTGGTGACTTCCAGGATGACATGACTGACTCCCTTCGAGATTACACCAATCTGCCAGAGGCCGCACCTTTGCTCACCATTCTGGACATGTCAGCCCGGGCCAAGTACGTGATGGATGTAGAGGAGATCACCCCAGCCATTGTGGAGACTTTTGTGAATGACTTCCTAGCAGAAAAGCTCAAACCAGAGCCCATTTAGTGGGCTCTGACCTCTTGAGACAGTATTTAAGGCTCAGTCTTCTCCTCCCCTTCCTTCTCTCCGCCCTTGGACTTTTCCAGCGTGTCCAACCTCTGTGGTGCCTTGTTTCTGCATTAAACAACTCAGCTAGCACCCATGAGTGCACATCCTCACAGCGGCGGCAGGACCCACTGTGTCTGGAGACTGCTTGGGATGTGTGACAATGGCCTGACCAGCTAGCACCAGAACTGCCACATTCTCCTGGTCACTAGCTCTTGGTAAAGGACCTTCCAGGTCTTCTGCAGAGTGAGCAAGCAGGGACAATGGATTGGGGCTCTGACTCTGGGGTCAGTACACACAACCCAAGCCAGAGGGAACTTTCCTGTGACGCTCGTACCTATGGGAGTTACAGAGGAAGGCCCATGGTCTCAGCGGCCATCAGTTGAGAGCTGTTGGTGAAAATATGCTCTGGAAGGACATATTCTTTCTTGGTCTGAGGGAAAAACAGTGCATCAGTGAGTTCTTGGGCAGGGGACCTCCAAATCTTTAAAGAAACTTGTGGGTGTTTGTTTTGGTGGGAAGATGAATAGCTGCGCTAACTGTTCATAGTGTGCTTCTGTGTGATTAGTTTCTTGATCTATCTTTCTTCCTTGTTCTTGACCATGCCCGTGTCTCTGCCCACACAAACAGCTCCCATTGGCTTGGAATTTTGGTAATGAATTCTCCCCGTTGGGCATCCTCCCAACACTGAAGCCTGGGTTCCCAGAGAAGTACTGCCAGTTGTCAGGGACCTCTCTGTGGGCTGGTTCTGTGCCTGAGGCCGGTGGACCTCTCTCTGTAGAGGCACCTGCAGCTCCTTCCTATTCCATTTTCTTTTCAAGCTGGATCCAAAAGGCAATGAGAATTTTCTTTTCCCTAGGAACCTGCAGGAGGGGCTGTGCTCTAGTGGCATAAGAGCAAAGGGCATGCCAGCTGGAGTCGGCCTTGACCTCCTTTGCTCAGCCCAGGTAGCTAAACTGACCACAAAAAGGGAAGCACCAGCTATGTTCTTAGGATCTGGACTTTGCCCTAGAGATTTCCAGGAGTTTAGTCCATCACAGTTCAAAGCGGCCAAGTGCCACCCTCAGCTCTATTCAACCATTTTTTTTTTTTCTTTTTGAAAACCCAGCCATCCTCCCCCAACAAGCTATTGACACTGTTGTTCCTTGCTGAATTGGATTGTTGATTTGTAGTTCAGAGGTACAACATTAGTTGGTACTTAGTCTGTTGGATGTTGCCAGCCTGAAATGCAATCACCTAGAAAGAAATAAAGCAGGCCTCTCTGGACCTTATTCTTCACGCCGTTCTTCCTGTCCTTAATGAAGAGTCTTTTTCACTTGAGTGCTCTATTTGAGATGGGGAGGGGGAATGTTCTAGAACCTTCAAGACTCTAATGAACTGGGATTGGGGACAGAGTTTGGTGGCAGAATGCTTGTCAAGCATGCATAATGCATAACACACACACACACACACACACACACACACACACACACACACACACACCCCATAGGCATGGGCATCTGTTTCTCTTGGTTTTTAGGAGGCAGGAAGCTGATTGGAGGCTCAGTTTCAGACTGGAGACTTTGTCGTGGACTTTGCTGTGTCCTTCCTTACAGGGAAGTTGAGCACTGACCCCTCCAAGGGGAGGTATGGGAATCACCATGGACCTCACTTTGAAGAGTAGGGCAAAGGATGGGATGCCCAAGCCTAGCTCTTTCCTAGGGTTAGGAGCTTCTCTGCTAGTGTCCCTGAGACGGGGATGTGGAACAAGATGAACTCACTCCCTTGAAAAATGAACAGCTTTCTGTCTGTGCCCTGTGTCCTGATTGCTTGGAAGGAAAGGCTGGTGTCCCTCTTGTCAGCTAATTGTATTTGAGGGCAAAAGAAAGACAGGGCAGTCAGGAGGTGCTGTTAGTCACTGTTGTATCTCAGTGGCTGTGCTGGGCTGGTTCTTCTCAGCCACTAGCCACTCCTATCAGTTGGATGCAATACCAGACCTCCCTTTTAGAGTGAATGTGTGGGTTAGTCAGGACCACTGGGGAGGGTTTAGTTCTATACAGCTGCTACAGCCTGAGAAAGTGCCATGGAAGGACCTGTCATATACCCCAGCGAACGATCCCTAAAGGTTACTGCAGCAGACCAAGTGGGTGGCATGCTAGCTCCCACCAAGCAGCTCCAAGATACCTTCAAATTCTCCCTGCTAATTGGAAACAGGCTAAAACACCAGCTGTGACATATCCACAGGCTTCCGCCAGCAGCAAAGGAAACACCATGCCCTACAGTTCGACGTGGGAAGGTAGCTATAAAAATGCCACTGTATAATTCCCAGGTTTGTGTTCAAAATGACCTCCAGAGCCCATTCACACAATAGACATATTTTTTTTTCTTTTGGTTTTTCAAGACAGAGTTTCTCTGTGTAGTCCTACCTGTCCTGGAACTTGCTCTGTAGACCAGGCTGGACTCAAACTCACAGAGGTCCACCTGCCCCTCCTCCTTGCATGCTGCCATGCCAGCCCCAGCCCTTTTTTTTTTTTTTTTTTTTTTTTTTTTTTAATTTTCTGAGACCAAGTCTTACTCAGGGCCTAGGCTGGCTGGCCTAGAAAACACGTGTAGCCTCAGCCACTGTGTAGGCAGGATCGCCTCAAATTCATGACAATGTTTCTGCTGCAGCTCCCGAGTGTTGGGAATAGAGGCATGAGCTACAGTGCCCAGCAAGAGAAGACATTTCACCTGCCTTCATACATAAAAGATCAAAGGATAGCCTGGAATCTGAGCCCTAGGGAGGGAGGAAGAAGGGTCATAAGTTCAAAACCAGCCTGGGCTTCATGGCAACACTGTCTCAAAACACCAAAAATAATAAACAAATCCATACAAGGAAAAGGACATGTGTTAGGATAATGATGGAAAAGGGCAGATGGAACCAGCCTCCTATCTAAGAGTCAGATGGTGCTGGCTCTGCCCCGCCCCACCACGTGTCCTTGAAGCCAGGGGCCATCACTTATTCCAGCATATGGAGCCAGCACTGCTTTTTTGGCGAGCTTCAAGTGGTAATTTTCAGCCAGACTTTGTTTTTTCCTGTTGCCTAATTAAAGACACTAAAAAGCTGTTCCCCTCCTGCTCCCATGCTCAAGGCAGCAAACTAAAGCCAGAGAGGAGACAGCAGAATAGGCTTGGGAACAGGTCTGTGGGACTTGAAATGGCATTTTTTAAGGGGAGCAGGGAGAGACATAGGCATGTCAGAACATGTGGAAATGCTACACATAGGTGACACACAGGGAGTGGCCTGAGCTAACATCTGGTCCCATGTGCAGAAGTGATCCCATTCTGTACACAGGGACATTTCTTCTGCCAGCCTGGGCAGACCTGTGCCTGCCTCACAGCACCACAACCACCACCAATGAAGGTGGCAATGCCCAGGGACTGCTAAAGTTCAAGAGTGCCTCTCTCCACTCTGTCTTGTGGGGCCAGGGACTGACCGGAGACCTGAGCTTACCAGGACCTTACAAAGATTGTCCCAGAATGGTTATATTAAAGGAATTACCTCATCTGCATCCCTTATTTACAAAGCCTCCAAGCAGGCTGCTTAGGGAACTTGACTTCATTATTAATGGCAGCAGCCTGTGGGCATATATGGTAGACTTTTCAGGAACAAAAGGTTGTATATAGTGGTTTTGCTTTGTGTGCTTCAGTTCAATCAGAATATTAAAAGTGTTTTCCATATACTTTATGATGAAAACAATGTACAGGAGAGTTCCAGGGTGCCGTGTTTGGAGACAGAAGTCACTCATACAACACAGGATACCACACTGCCACCCATGGGCGGGTCTAGATATCCACATAGGCTAACCTTATCCAGATTCTTTCGCAGGTGATCATAGACAGTGCAGTTGACAATTAAAACTAACACTGTGTGGGCCATCCTTGTAGCACTTTGGAATGTTTCCCATGCCAGGAAATGTATTAACTGATGTGGGTATTAACTCATTCTGAAGAACAGTTGAGATTTCCCATCCCTACAGGCAAATGTGCTGCCCAAAGTAGGCTTCAGTGCTGGGCCTGGGCTCTGGATGCTCATACATCAAAAAAGAATCATATGGGTTAGAGTTAAAAATGCTGTCTTTCCCGCCTACTCCAGGCTTCGTCGGTGTGTGTGTCCCTACTCATCCCAGATGAGCAAGGAAGGCCGAGTGACCCCTGCTGTAGCTCTCGCTAATTCCACCTCCCAACCTTTGTTTCCACTCATCAAACAGCAACATTGGTGCTGGGCCACCCCAATTCTGGGGCTTCCTGAGTAAAATGACACAGCTGGGGATCTCTATACAAAGAGGAGGAAGCCCAGGCCAATCCCCAGAACACTGGGCCACTGAGCATCCACAGTGTCTCCTGAGACTCCAGTGAAGACTTGGCTGCAGCTGTGACCTCAGCTGCTCAGATGTGACATGGCTCTGTTCAGAAACAGTTCATCCACTAATCTGTCTCCTAGTTTATTTCGTTTGTGTATTCACACATTCACAGAGTGAAAGGGGAAAGAGGACGGCACTGTAGTTTAAAAGCAACACACTTCCTTAAAGCAAAACAAGATGAGCCCAAGGGGCAGGAGCTCCACGAAGCAGCTGGGGCGGCAGCTGGGTGGAGGTTGGAGCCCCGTGGCCTACAGGACAACCCATGGTCAGAGAATCCTGGGTAGATGCTATTTCTGGGACTTTGTGTGACCTAAATGAAGTTCAGCGTGGACAGCAGAGAATCAGGAGTTTCTGTGAACTTGGGACAAGTGGTGGAAGACCTCCAGTGGTGTTTTGCCCCACATGCCCAAGTGACCAGGATTCTTTCTCACCAGTTAGCAGCTGGATGGGGGAAAGGATGAAGAAGAATGGCTCCCCTCCCCCGGCAGCACTGGCCAAGGCTGCGTGTGAGTTTCCTGTGACAGGAACACATTGGGGCACCAGTGTGCCTGAGACTGACTACACATGGAAAGTGTGCCACTTTTGTTAGTGTCCACGTCCTCTTCAACTTCAGATTCTGACTTCTGCTGAGCTGAGACCCAAGTTTGCAATGCTCTTGGCAGCGGGAAGGAGACAGGACTCCATGTTAACAAGTTAAATAAACCCGGGGCAAGTCTCAACTCTTTAGCTTGAGGAACCCTTTCTGAGGTGAGGCTTGCCACCTTGTGGCCGAAGCCAGTGCTACAGCTAGACTCACTGCAAAGCCAGGCTAGAGCCTTGGCCAGATTGTCTCAATGCTTCTCTTCCAGCCACCGGCAGTTTTCATTATCATGGACTGCTGCTCAGTTTTACTGCTGTTTCCTGGGGAAACGGTGATGGAACCATTCATTGTTCTCAAAAGTGAGAATTCATGATAGTGATTTTCCATTTTCAATCAGCAAGAACTTTTTCAAAAGACATTTTTTTGTGTGTGTTGGGTTTTGTTTTTGTTTTTTTCTAGACAGGGTTTCTCTGTGTAGCCCTGCTGTCCTGAAACTCATCTTGTAGACCAAGCTGTCCTGGAACTCACAGAGATCCACCTGCCTCTGCCTCCAAGTGATCAAAGGCATGCACCACCACCACCCAGCTCCAAAAGACAATTTTATCTAGACAGAAACTTTCAAACAACATAGAAAAATTGGGCATCATTAAAATGCATTATTGCCAAGTGACTTAACATTAGAATATAATGGGGGAACAGGAAACACACAGCAACTCATCCCTTGCAGGGTGAATGAAAACCAGTGGTACTGCCATGTGAGGGCAAAGGTTACCTTTTCCCCACAAACTTCTACCTCCACCCATCTCTATTCTTCCCCAGCACCCTCCAGAGCAAGGAGAAAAACAGGCAGCACCCAGGCCATTTATTCCACGTTAAGCACTTAACAGACTGGATTCGTGCTCTCCAAAGGCCCTGGGTTGGAGAGGTCTGTGGCATCAGGAAAATTATATAGGCAGGCACTCTAGAACGGAGCCTGAGCCCTTTGGCTAGCAGTATCCAAGTACACCAGCGAGTGGTGATTTTGGAAGCCATAGTAGACACCCCTTCCCCATATTCACCAAGAACTTAACCACGATTGCTTCCCTGTAGTTACAGTCACTTAAAAAGACAGATTTCCCCCTCCTGTGCTCCATCTCCACGCTAACACTGACCACTAAGTGGATAACAGGTACACTTCTTATCCCTCTTGCACCCAGGATGGCAAAAGGGCTTCACGTTGCACAGAACCAGTGGTTCTGCATCCTGCTATTCTTCTTGAAGATGTAAGATGTTCTGTCATTGATTTTTATTTTGTAACACAATGCAGGGAGCCAAAT